CTAATCTAAATGAGGCCTAACCAAGGATGTATAGAGTTGAAGAACAACCTGAGGACTCCTATTATTTATGCTTCTTGATATGAAGCCAAGGATTCTATTAGCTTTATTGCGAACATTATGCACTGTTGTCTTGGTTTCAGATTATGCTAACCAAAAACCCCTAAATCTTTTTCGCTTTCCGTAATATTAAGTTTAAATTTTATTTAGTTTATATGTGGCATGGTTATTGTCCTGTCCAACATTTAGAATTTTGCATTTGTCTATATTAAACTGCATCTGCCACTTCTCCGACACTGCATCAGTCTATTCAAATCTTCCTGGGAGTGCTCGAATGTCCTCGTCAGAATGAATTCGAGGGCCCTTTTTTGGTGTCATCGGCAAACTTGCCGATGTCGCTCTTTTATGCCCTCTTCTATGTCGTTTATGTAGATTGTGAAAGCAGGGGGCCCACACTGACCCCTGTGGAACACCGCTCGTGCGCTTCCCCACTCTGATTTCTCCCATTTATGCAAACTCTCTGCTGCCTATTTGTCAACCATCCCTCTATCCGGGAAAAAAAATTTCTCCTTATTCCATGTGTTTTAAATTTTTCCTCAATAGTCTTGATGTGGGACCCTGTCAAAAGCCTTACTGAAGCCCATTTTACACAATTCATATTCGTTACCATGATCTACCTCCTCAAATACCTTATTTGAAAAAAGTTAATAAATTCCCGTAAGGCAGGAACGTCCCTTTGTAAAACCATGCTGAGATTCGTTGATTAATTTATGCTTTTCAAGGTGGCTACGAACTGCCTCGGAAATTATTGATTCCATAAATTTTCCCACTATGGAGGTTAGGCTTATTGGTCTATAGTTCAAAGCTAAGGACCTGTCACCTGTTTTGAAAATAGGTATCACATTTGCCATTTTCCACTTATCTGGCACCATGCCAGTTTGTAGTGATATGTTGAAAAGATTAGCCAAAGGTGTGCTAAGCTCCTCTTTACATTCCTTTAGAACCCTTGCATACAGTTCATCAGGGCCTGGGGATTTGTTAGGTTTTAATTTATCTATTTGCCTAAGGACCATGTCACTTGTGACCCTAATAGTGCACAGTTTATTATCGTCCTGTTCTACATAATTTATCATTACTGGAATATCACTGGTATCCTCCTGTGTAAAAACTGAGAGGAAGTATGTGTTAAAAATTCTACACATTTCCTTATCACTGTCAGTGAGCTGACCCGAGGGAACTTTTGAGTGGGCCTATCTTGTCCCTGATCTTACTTCTGTATACCTGAAAGAATCCTTTTGGGTTAGTCTTCGATTCTCTTGCAACTTTAACCTCATAATCTCTTTTTGCTTTTCTAATTCCCTTTTTTATTTCTCTCTTTAACTGAATATATCGATTTCTTAATTGCCCCTCTCCTCTTTTGATTTGCCTATATATGCCTCTCTTTTGACCAATCAGATATTTTAATCTATTGTTCATCCATTTAGGATCATTTTTGTTTGATCTGATTTCCCTATTTGGAACATAATTTGACTGAGCAGCTAGAACTATGCCTGGAAAGCATCATATCGGCAACCATCACCACCTACCTGACCCCTAGTCAGGTCATTCCAGTTCAGCCCACCTAAGTAATTTTTCAGTCCTATGAAATCAGCCAAGCGAAAGTCAGGGACGGAGACTTGATTGCCATTATTAGGGGAATTCCATGATATGTTAAAACTGAGTGATTTGTGATCACTCTCCCAAGCTCATCATTAACCTCAAGATTATTAATTAGTGTTTCCCTACTGGCAAGAACCAAGTCAGGAGGTTATTTCCCCTAGTTGGCTCTGTCACAAACTGTTTTAAAAAACAATCCTGGATCATATCAAGAAAAGTCACCCGACTCTAAATTTCCTGTCAAATTGCTCCAGTCAATCTGTCTATAGTTGAAATCTCCATTAGCACAACATTTTCGTATGTAGATGCCTTACGAATTTCGTCCCATAGAAGTTTACTGCACTCCCTATCAAGATTTGGGGCCCTGTAAATCACACCCAAAATTAGTTTTTCTCGGCCCTCGAGAAGCTGTAACCAAACAGATTCAGTGGCTGACGCTTCTAATTTAATATCTTGTCTAACACAACAATTTAAATTGTCTCTGACATACATCGCTACTCCACCACCTTTCCTGTTGACCCTGTCAGTGTGGAATAATTTATAGCCTTGTATGTGACATTCAGATGGCATCTCTCTATCTTTCAGATTGAGCCAGGTCTCTGTTATAGCAATAATATCTATGTTTCCTGCACTTGCAATTAATCTTAGCTCATCTATCTTATTTCTAACACTCCTGCTATTAGTATAGTAAACCTTAAGGGAGCTAGTCCCTTGCTGCCCTCTGCTGTCCCCCTTTGTTTTCTGACCTGTTCTATTGTCTTTATTTATAACTTCATGCTGAATGCCTTTTATACATTTACTGTTTCCAACCCTAGTGTTGCAACCTGCTTGTTTCCCACACACACCCATACCTCTATCTTCCATCAGTTTAAAATCATAGGCATTTCACCAATGGCCTTCTCAATCGAGTCTGCAAGTGCTACCACCCCTGCCCCAGAGAGATGAACCCCATCCCTTGCATACATATCATGTTTGCCATAAAAGTTGTTCCAGTTGTCAATGAATGGGATTGCAAGTTCCTTGCAGTATCTGTTAGCCAGCAATTTACACCAATTGCCTAGACAACCATTCATTTCCTACTCCCCTTCTAGGCAAGATGCTACATATGATTGGGATCCCTCCCTTAGACTTAATGAAATCTATAGCTGACCTGTACTTATCTAGCAGCTCTTCTCTCCTACCCTTCCCAATATCATTTCCACAGCACTGAGACAGATAATGGGCTTGTTCCATTACCTGACATGATATTATCCAGTCTGTTGACAATGTCCCCAACACCAGCTCCAGGGAAGCACACTCTATCTCTCATCTTCTTATTCCTATTACAAAAAGCACGGTCAACATATCTTACCTGAGAGTCACCAACCACAAGAATGCGCTTACCTTCATTAGCAGGGGCAGTAGTACCCTTACCTTCACTGGCCACTGAAGTACATTCATCCTGGAGAACAGAGAAGCGATTTCCTACCTTCAGATCTTCACTCTTAACTTTCCTTACTCTGATGCGCCTCCCATTACTGTGAACAACTCGCCACTTGTAGCAGGTGCTGGGCTGCACCTCACTGCTGGTACCCGTTGCTACCTCCCCACCTACAGCCTCCTCACAGTGAGAGACAGACTGCACCTCACTGCTAGAAGCCTCATTCCCCACATCTCCAACCACCTCACACTCTCTCCCAGGCCCATTGAGGTGGACCTTCAGCCTCCTAATCTCCTCCTGGAGAAGCAAGACCTCCTCCTTCAACTCTCCAAACTCAGTTTTTAAAACACTGCAGAAGCAAGCCATGCTTTGTAACCGTCCACGCTAATCCCCAAAGCAGCTCAGGGTCTGTGACCTCACGTGACGACTGACCACTGTCTATTCCTGTACGTATGTATCCCTGTATCTGAGCTTGCCTGTAAGTACAGTACTTTTACGTGTGTGTAGCAGCAAGACTGATGGGACCAGTAGTACTGCTTTAATGTTTTAAAGGCAGCTTCTGCCTACCTTGCTCAGTGACATTTACAACCAAAATCTGTGCATCTTGCTGATGGTACAACCCGGAGACCCTTCGTCCGACCCTCCTACCACCTCTCGCTCCCTCCTCTCCCCCTCTTCCTTCCGGCTTCCTCATCTCGCCCCCTTCTTCCACAAACTTAAACAAACATGTCTACCCTTCCCTCCACTCCCTGTCATCGCTCCCCTTCGCTTCCTCATCTCTTCTCTTCCCTTCCCAATCCTCTTATTACCCCTTTATCCATTTCCTCTCATCCCTTCCTCTCTTTTCTCTCATTCGCAAATCACTGGTGACGAGTGTGCGTGTGCCTCCAGGTGGTGATGTGGTTGATCGCTATCCTCTGCGGGATGCTGGTGGGAAAAGTGCTCATCCACGGCCTCATCTTCAAGAGGATGCTGCGACTCAAGATGTTCAGGGATGAGCAGGTGAGTCGCGGGTGCAGGTGGCAGGAGAACCCGTGGAAAGTGATAGGTGGGGGAGGTATGTGTGGCCCAATAAGAGTGCCTATATATATATATATATATATATATATAATATATCATGAAATAATAGTTTAATCGTAATGGTGATAATATAATTAATGTTAATGATGAGGGGGTTGTGTTTCAGGGGTCGTGGATGACAATGGCACTAACAGTGATAGTGTCACTGTACATGTTCTCATACGTGTACAACCTGATCCTTCTCATCGGACACGGTGAACCTTGCAGGTGGCAGATCGGCTCTGACATGAACGTTACTAATGAAAGGTGAGGGGGTGGGGGAGGTTGGAGGGGGAGGAGGAGGGCGCGGTGGAGGTTGGAGGGGAGGAGGAGGGCGCGGTGGAGGTTGGAGGGGGGGAGGAGGAGGAGGGCGCGGTGGAGGGTTGGAGGGGAGGAGGAGGAGGAGGAGGAGGAGGGCGCGGTGGAGGTTGGAGGGGAGGAGGAGGAGGAGGAGGAGGGCGCGGTGGAGGTTGGAGGGGAGGAGGAGGAGGAGGGCGCGGTGGAGGTTGGAGGGGAGGAGGAGGAGGGCGCGGTGGAGGTTGGAGGGGAGGAGGAGGAGGAGGAGGGCGCGGTGGAGGTTGGAGGGGAGGAGGAGGAGGAGGGCGCGGTGGAGGTTGGAGGGGAGGAGGAGGAGGAGGGCGCGGTGGAGGTTGGAGGGGAGGAGGAGGAGGAGGGGCGCGGTGGAGGTTGGAGGGGAGGAGGAGGAGGAGGAGGAGGGGCGCGGTGGAGGTTGGAGGGGAGGAGGAGGAGGAGGAGGGCGCGGTGGAGGTTGGAGGGGAGGAGGAGGAGGAGGGCGCGGTGGAGGTTGGAGGGGAGGAGGAGGAGGAGGAGGAGGGCCGCGGTGGAGGTTGGAGGGGAGGAGGAGGAGGAGGAGGAGGGCGCGGTGGAGGTTGGAGGGGAGGAGGAGGAGGAGGAGGGCGCGGTGGAGGTTGGAGGGGAGGAGGAGGAGGAGGAGGAGGGCGCGGTGGAGGTTGGAGGGGAGGAGGAGGGCGCGGTGGGGTTGGAGGGGAGGAGGAGGAGGAGGAGGAGGGCGCGGTGGAGGTTGGAGGGGAGGAGGAGGAGGAGGGCGCGGTGGAGGTTGGAGGAGGAGGAGGGCGCGGTGGAGGTTGGAGGGGAGGAGGAGGAGGAGGAGGAGGGCGCGGTGGAGGTTGGAGGGGAGGAGGAGGAGGAGGAGGAGGAGGGCGCGGTGGAGGTTGGAGGGGAGGAGGAGGAGGGCGCGGTGGAGGTTGGAGGGGAGGAGGAGGAGGGCGCGGTGGAGGTTGGAGAGGAGGAGGAGGGCGCGGTGGAGGTTGGAGGGGAGGAGGAAGAAGGCGCGGTGGAGGTTGGAGGGGAGGAGGAGGAGGGTGCGGTGGAGGTTGGAGGGAGGTGGAGTTGAAGTGGAGTGGAGGAGGGAAAGAGGTAGATGGAGAAAGAAAGCGGGAGGTTTAGGGTGAGGGAGAACAGTTTTCTTTTTCTTCTCATCGTTATTATCATCATTATGATTACTTGATTATTACTGTTATTAGCATTAAAATTGTTATTAAACTCATGGGGAAGCGCTAAAGCAGTATGGATCATACAGCGCCTGGTGGGGTGGGGGGTGTTGATGCGTGGTAATCAGATCTTGTCCAATAAAGGAGAGCTCCAACTCCTTGGATCAAGAGGCATCCATGGGGTTCAAGTACCTGAAGAGAGTCTTGGGCGGCACTCCAGCAGCAAGCCACCAAGCCACCCTCGAAGCCAACAAAGCCACAGTCTGGACCTTTTTTTTTTTTATCCAAGTGGCTTCAAAGCCTTTTAGCTTTAATAACCCTCAATTAACTTGCCTTCCACTGTGTATAATTTGGAAGCAGCCTTTAAATGCCCCTGACTTTATGATCCATACCAGTTTGATGTTTATATTTGTAGTAAAATAATTATTATTATTATTAGCAGTAGTAGTAATAGTAGGTTTTTTTATACACCGGCCGTCTCCCACCGAGGCAGAGTGACTCGATATTTAGTAATGTATACAGAAAGGGTTACTAGCCCCTTGCTCCCGGCATTTTAGTCGGCTTTTACGACACGCATGGTTTACGGAGGAAGGATTCTTCTCCACTTTTCCAAGAATCATTAATAATAATAATAATAATAATAATAATAATATTCATGGTATGCAGTACCGACAACGTCATGAATAAGACGCACGTGCGACACTTGGCTATCTTTATTGCCGAAACGTTTCACCTGCACAATAAGCTTCCTTAGTCAAATGCAGGAGAACATAATACCGGGGACAGTAAGAGTAGTTTTAGGGTGATCAGTCCCTCAGTCTTGATATGATTTGTTCAGTTCTTCAACCCTGATAGGAGGTGGTCAGTCCCGCAACATCAAGGAGAGACATGGGGCCAACCCTTATATACTCGAGGAAAAGGGAAGTGTAGAAGTTAGAGGCGACATCACAAGTGAGCGTGGCCACATAGTGGTAGATCACACTAAGCAGTTTTCCGACACAGCCACGCCATGGTACCTGGGTACAGGGAAAGTCTTCTACAATTCCTTTGATAATTAACAGTGTAGCATGACCTAATTCCACTAGTGGGCCATGCTCACCCGTGGCGTCAACTACAGTTGTACTTTACCCCCCAGGCCTCTGTTTTACCCTGAGGCACTAACCACCTTGTATCAAGGCTGAGGGACTGATCACCTCAAAATTATCCATCTTACTGTCTCAGTGTTATTTTCGTCTGTATTCGACTGAAGAAGCGTGCTGAGCAAGTGAGGCGTCTGGATAGTAAAGTTACCCAAGTGTTACATATGTGACATCTACAGGAAGCCAGAACTAAAAGCAGAACCCCAGCAGTTCTGTCTTAAGGAAATTCTGTTTCCCGTGATGCGTGTTTTCTCTTAACCTCAAAACGTCAGCTTTGACGTAAGATTAAACTTTTCTGGACGTATGGACGTGCCGTCGTGGCCTCTTTGCATAAGTTTTGAAAGACAGACGCGTTTTAAAATGCAAGTTTGAGACGCTGTCTTGAAACATTACTCCTTTTTTACTCCTTTCACACTCCTTCCCTCCTTCCTCCCTCTCTCTCTCTCTCTCTCTCTCTCTCTCTCTCTCTCTCTCTCTCTCTCTCTCTCTCTCTCTCTCTCCATAACCGTCTACCCCTCCCCTCTCCTCTCGGGCCACTGCTGTCAGGAAATTGTCAGAAAAGTGGAGGGGGATGTCATTATCAGGCGGGGAGGGTGGAGCCTGCATCCCCTCCCCTTGGAGAGGACGGGAATCCTGCACTCCTCGTCTTGATGGAGGGGAGGGTGGAGCTTGCACCCCTCTTGAAGGAGAGGGGGATCCTGCACCCCTCCTCTTGATGGAGGGGAGGGTGGAGCCTGCACCCCTCTTGAAGGAGAGGGGGATCCTGCACCCTTCCTCTTGATGGAGGGGAGGGTGGAGCTTGCACCCCTCTTGAAGGAGAGGGGGATCCTGCACCCCTCCTCTTGATGTTGCTGTATCTCTCATGAGCTTCGTACAGTAAAACTTAGCAAGTTACTTTGTGTTGAGCGAAATATTATGTTAAAGGGGAGAGGGGGGGGGGGAATACGGGTGAAACAGTCAGGTACCTTTTTTCCCAAACATTTCGCCCTACGGAAGGCGTATTCATTGAGGTGATTAAATCGTGTATCCGACTGAAGAATCCCAGTGTGTAGGATAAAGATATCTGAGTGTTGCACCTGCGTCTTACCCATCTACTGGTTGGTATTATACATCATTATTGTAGTGATACCTGTGCAAGCATACATAGAAACCTATACAGACATACGTATATACCTGCACAGGCATATATAATATAGGGAGGTACCACCTCTGGAACTGGTCATCCTCAGATAAAAGAATAAACTTCAGGGAAAACTCCAGGTTCTCCCTCTAGCTGTTTCAATATTTTCTTCTGCTTCCACCCCGAATATTCTATATTCTATGTGAACTTTGTTTAAAGACAAAATACATTGACAAAAATATAATGGGAAATAGAACAACATAAATAACATCTGAGAGCCTACATCTCGAATATTTCGTCCAGCTCCCCGGCTGTGGGCCGCCTGCCCAGAAGGCTGCAAGCATTTCCACTCTGGATCGCAACACCGAGTCTCTGAAAGAGGAAGCTGGCCGCTCTGTGATCCTTAATTTCTGTGACTAGCTTTTCACCCAGCTCTTTGAGGAACTTTAGAGCACACTTGCCCCATGCTCCAAGGGTCTCCGACCCTACTGGGATGAAGTTGTAGCAAGGGGGAAGGTCTTCATATTTACGGATCTTCTGGGGTCTCCCGGTAGCTGGCGGCTCCACCCACTTCAACTTCACAGTATGGCAGGTAGGTGTCTGCCAAAGTGGCAGCACAGGTGTAGTCTCAGGCAGTCTGCTTACCATCCTTCCAGGGTAGTATAGTGACTCCATCAGGACGCTTTTGACTTCCATCAGACTTCTGTACTTGGGGTTCCCGTTGAGCTGGGCAACGGGCTGTGGCGAGGCTTCTCTTTATGATGTTTTTGACCTCATAGAATACTTCCATTCTATTGTATGACACAAACCATGAAGTCCGAATTGATCAGCAAACGCCCTACCTCAAGTACGCCTATGATCGGTGAGTATGGGGGCAGCTAGGCGAAAAGCAACATATATATATATATATATATATATATATATACACACATACGGGGCCAGGAGCTGAGTCTCGACCCCTGCAACCACAATTGAGTACACACCAGGGGTAGACAACAGCTAAAGAAACACGACGGATTTAAGGGGATGGAGGTCCCCTGATGCCGGTAAAGGGCTCGTGATCCGAGGAACTGGAGCCATCCTGTACTTAGATCAAACCTGACTGGCTCTCCTATTTCTCGGGCATTGTGCGACTCCGCAACGTTTCGCCCGCTTCTCGTGGGCGAAACGTTGTCTCATACTCTTCACGCTTTTATCCTTTAAATCTTCCAGTAGGACTACTCAAACTTGATTACATTAAGTTGTAGTAAGTTTTAACTTTTCACTTTAAAGTAGCTCATTATTTGTGCCTGAGTATGTTCTGAAGGGTGGGCGGAGTTCAGAGAGTGGGCGGAGTTCAGAGAGTGGGCGGAGAAGAAAGGGTGTGTTAGGAACAAAGTGTTTGTAGGAAGAAAATGGCGAGTGGGGGGAAGGATGTGCATGGGGAGGAGTGACGAGGAATGGGTGGGTGATGAGGAATGGGTGGGTGATGAGGAATATGTGGATGTAGGGGAACTGTTGGTTTAGGAGGAACAGACGAGTGGATTGGATAGGTGAAGATGAATGGGTGGGGAGGAATTCGTGGGTGGAGGATGAACGGGTGGGTGAGGATGAATGGGTAGGTGGGGATGAACGGGTGGGTGGGACCAGTGAGTGGGTGAGAGCAATGAGTGGGTGGGAATAATAGGCGAGTGGGGAGGAGAGGGTAGGTGTGGACAATGGGTGGGTATAGAGGTAAGAAAGAGGATATACTTTCTCACTATTGATGCCAGGTATACGAGATGTCATACCCATCAACTCTTGCATCAATATCAGACGTAAGAAATATCGTTACCCACAACTATGCCAGGCGTACGTGTCGCTACCAAACACCTTTGCAGCAATGCCAAACGTACGATATGCCACTATTAACACTTCTGCAACAATGTTGGACGTACGATATTCACTACAGTACCACTATGACAAAGCCAGGCGAATAGATAATTACCATAAAAATCTACAGTGTCAGACGTACGATATGTTAACAGAGCTCTAAAACAGTGCCAGACGTACGGTAATTACCACAGCTTCAACAATGCCAGACGTATGATATATTACCATAACACCTCTACTACGGTACCAGACGTACGATGTAATACCATAACCTCCACAACAGTGCCAGACTTGCAAGATGTCACCAACACCACAACAGTCTCAGTTGTACAAACTAGCCTTACCACCACCTCTGTGGTGTTGCCAGACATAGGGAATAGCAGCACCAACACATTTATGGCGCTGCCAGATGCACAAACTCATAACACTGATACCTATACGGCGCTGCCAGGCGTACAAGATACTTCTATCAACAACCCCCTACGGAGCTGCCAGACATACACACAGTGGCGCCATATCCGTTGACAGGATGCTGAAAAAATATCTTAATTAATCTGTGTTTTATAACCCAGTTGTGTCACAAATTAAAAGTTGTCGCGGGAGGTAATAATAGTAGCGAGGTGGCCAGATATCAACAGTAATATACTAACTTTCTTATCTAATAATAGGACGGGAGTTTTCGCACGCATTACAGTTCGTCCGTTTCTGAACTTCACAAAAAAATATATTTGAAGGTGTAGGTAAGTTTACGTACCTTACCAGCCAGGCTGTGGTTCGTACATCGGTTTGCGTGCGACCAGCAGTAACAGCCTCATTGATCAGGCCCTAGTCCACCGCGAGGCCTGGTCACAGACCGGGCCACGGGGGCGTTGACCCCCCCGAAACCCACTCCAGGTATACTCCAGGGAACGTCAGTTTTGTATTTCCGTAACGAGGTTTTGCAATCACGTTATACAGTCAGCTGATTTACACTGGTCAGCCATGTTGAAGGTCAAGCACCACGAACCTGTGTAGATATTTACTGTTAATAAAGAAAACACAATATAGTGACTGGAACAGTATACAGATAACCCGCACATAGGAGAATCTGACTTATGGCGACGTTTCGGTCCGACTTGGATTATTAACTAGCCCTGTGACTAGTTAATGGTCCGAAACGTCGTCATAAGTTTCATTCTATGTGCAACTTATTTGTGAATTATTAAAATTATTAATTTTATATAATTATTATTTACGTTTTCCTCTCATCAAAGTTTATCGCTGTTTGACCTATACGGATTTAATGTTTTGTGAATATAATAATAATCTCGTAAAAAAATTATGTGAACAGCTGGCAGACATAAACAGCGAGCCAGCTGGACCAGCGACAAGAAAAAACAACCACTTTTTCCACTTAAAATATAAAGTACTGTTTTATAACTCATAAAATATCGAAGATTTATTGGGTAAAATCGGTTTTCATCCGATTTACTGGACATCGTCGCGTTGTTTAATTAATGCCCGGTAACGTCGTGGCCAACCATACCTAACCTTAAAGGCGCAGCAGCCAACGCACACGTACGTCACTAACGCCGTTACCTGGAATGAGACTTATCATTAGGTGCATTAGAGGTTAAATTAGTCTGGTAATAGGGTGATTTCTAGGATGGAACTTCGGTGCCATTCACCGGTGGTATCTGGATACAAGGTGGAGATTATTGTTGCAGCTGCTGTTGCTACAACTACTGTTGCAAAGATTGTTACTACTGCTATTGCAGTGGTTTCTATTACTACCACTACTATTGAAATTATTAGTACGTCTACTGTGATACCAATAAAAACTTTACATTGCGTCTTATTTCACTCATGTGGGGGCTTTTCCTGGCTTGTCTGCACTTTGTTACATCCTTAAGTGCATATTTTTAACTAAAAATTGAGGTTTGACAGAAAATACTTGAAACAGCTGAACCGTCGAAATGTGCAATAAAATAACGTTTACGAACATTTTTTTCATTATTTGTTTTTAATATTTCACATATTTTTCAAAAATAATATGTAAAGTCCATAACAATCTAAATTGTTATTTTATATTTGAGTGTTTTAGCAGGTAGAAGAGCTCTTCAGATCTTAAAAGGCTACAACACAAATTGATGAGTATATCCTAGCTTCACTTGTGAGCGCTGCAACACAAATACGTATATGAAGGAATATCGTAGTCTGATTCATGCTTAGATCTAGCAATCTCATTGAATAATCCTGGATCCTAGATTTGCTTGCTTCCACTGTCACCGTTCCCACTAACCTTGACAGGATGTATTTACACCAAGACGTGTATTTCTCTCATATGCTGCGAGTTTATTTCAATCCCCATTTTAGTGATTAAAGTGAATATTAAAATGGTATAAAATACCGACAGGTTGTTAGTGGTTAAAGTGTTGTTGACTGGTGGTGGAAAGGTTACTTGCAGCCTTAATGACCCTAGTGTAGTTGATAGGCTTTAAACCCCATTAACTATTAACGACTGACCTCGTGCTCTTCCTGCCTCTGCAGCATGATGAAGGCTGCAGCTACCTGCACGTGGCTGGGTGACCTGGTGACAGCACTGATGGTGACTGACATGATGCTTCAAGACAACCTCTACCCGCACTGGGCCACTGGCTTTCGTCGCCTCTACCGTTTATCCAACGTGCCCCGAATCCTCATCTTCTGGTGTGGCTCCATCGTCGTGGCTGTCATAGTCATCTTCCTCATCGTTTCCGACTACATCTCCTGGGACAAGCTCAACAAGGGCTTCGTCGAGACAACAGGTGGGCCGACTATCAGTACTCGATGCCTAGGGCTCCTCTCCATTTCATTAAGAGAATGTTAGCAAGATTTTTCTTCCTTATTGTGTTAGGTCTGTTGATTATACAGTGATTCAATAAGTGGGTCATTAAAGCCGTAACATCATGAAAAGCTTAACTCTTAAAAGAAGGATTAAAGTTAATTGTTAGTGTATATAAATTTATCGGCATGCATCTGCAACAATAAAGGTTGCCTTGCAAATGTGTCTTCTGATAAAGAATTACTCAAATGTTGCACATATATTTATCTATATTTGTAGACGGTTCGCCATACAGTGGTTTACAGTGGTGGCCTGGTGGTTAACGCTCTCGCTTCACACGGTGAGGGCCTGGGTTCGATTCCCAGCCAGAGTAGAAACATTGGACGTGTTTCTTTCCACCTGTTGTCTATGTTCCCCATCAGTAAAATGGGTACCTGGGTGTTAGTCGACTGGTGTGGGTCGCATCCTGGGACACTGACCTAAGGAGGCCTGGTCACAGACCGGGCCGCGGGGGCATTGACCCCCGGAACTCTCTCCAGGTAATCTCCAGGTAATGGACACAATGTGAAGACTGTAGATCTATATACAAAAGATGAGGTAATCAGTCCCTCAGCCTTGGAGTTGGTGACGAGCATCGTAGTCCTGAAGAATCTCAGATTCTTTGGTATTGTATACCATTCATGTACAGCGTGTCTTCTCTTCTGTATTTTCATCTAAACTCTATTTGGAAGCATCTCTTTTATCCCATAAAAGGCAATCACTTCAAACATTTTCAATAAACAGAAAATTGTTGCCAGCCTCCCAGTCGTTATCAAAAAAAAAAAAATATGTCTACTGCGCTAACACTTCATTATTTGTCAAGATCTACAAGTGGTGATTAAGGTCATTAACCTGTCATTCATTATATTTACGTTAAAACTTTTGGACCATAAAACTAATTAGATGGTGAAGATGACTGGAAAAGTTGCGTAATAAGTTGATTTTACTTTTAGGCTGAATCTCATAAGTTTTCTGTATATCATCTGAGATGACGTGGGACAACCGGAAGTTATGTGGGAGACGAAAGGCTCCAGCCCGGCGCCCCGTGATGTCACATTGATTTATTAGTGATGAAAGCTACACCCACCCATCCACCCACCGATCCCTCCTTACCCCTGCCTATTCAAGACGCCCACCCCCACCCAGTAGAGAGAATGTCTGTAAGATGTACCCTGTAGGGCGTGGTCTCCGGGGTCCATCCTGTAAGGTCTACCCTGTGAGGAATAATTTTTGACGTGGTTTGTCTGTTGGACATTGGCTGAGGCGCAGCCAGGGAGGTTGCTTCTTGGAGGTCGGTCTGGGAGGTCACTAGACCTCAACATGCAATCACCTATGATCACCCATCCAATTGCCTCTGCCACCACCACAATGACTACTACCGTCACCACAACCACCATCACCACTGCAGCACTACCATCACCACTGCCGGCACCACAACCATCTCTACTACAACTACCACAATCACTACTATCACCACAGCCACCACCATTACTGCCAGCACCACCACTATCACCATTGCCAGTACCACAATCATCACCATCATTACTACTACAACCACCACAGTCACTGCTACCATCACCACAGCCACCATCATCACCAGAGCCAGCACCACCACTATCACCACCATCACCACCACTGTCACCACCACCACCTTCCAGCCACACTCTCGAATGCTCCACCAGATCTCCCACGCTTTAAGGGAAGGGACATCGGACTCTTAACGAAATGGTAGGGAACTTATGATGAAGGGAGGTTTGTGGTGGGAGAGTTGTCGGTGAGGGGAAGGGAAGAGTCTCCGGAAACTCATGTTAAATATGTTTTTTAATAACATCACTACTGCTTTTAAACAATGATTTAATTAAAGGATAGTTTAGTAGAGGATGCGGAAAGCTTGGTGGAGGATAAGCTCTAGTTCCAGGGCTCTCTTTATTCTACAGAGTACATCTGCTACTCACCAAGTATAACATCACATTACTTAAGCAGAGACTAGAAGAGAAATGCCAAGTAGGAGGAGAGAGGAAGAGAGGGAGGGATAAAAGTTTTTAAACCGCACCATTTCTTAAGAAGTTCAACTAAGAGAGAAGACTAGGAGGGAGGGAAATAGAGATAGGGACAAGGAAGAGGAATAGGTATAAATAGTAGGGAGGGATGTGAAGGAATGGGGAGGGTAGGACACAAGATACACTAAAAGGAGGATGAAGGAATTAAGGGAGGTTAGAGAATAGAGAGATAAAGAAATGAAGGTATAGAGAAAGTGAGATGAAGTAGAGATAATGGCTTGTAAGTCTCTGATGTGACTTGATAATGGTTCCTGATGAACCGAAACTTCATACGGGGGTTCGTCTTAGAAGTGCTGGTATCTGTGCGTTGTTCCCGCAAAGGTATTGCCACTTGCTCTTCTCAGGCAGGAAAACGATGTAGCGAATGTTAATACTAGGAAACAGAGTCCAGTGTAGGTAAGGTAGCAACACAGAGTCCAATATGGGTAAGCCAGCAATCTTGCCGCGGCTCCACGTAGCGCCTACGGCTACTCCACTTTCACTACCTGTCTACCTGGAGGGTATTCCGGGGATCAACGCCCCCGCTGCCCGGTCCACGACTAGGCTTCCCTGGTGTCATTAGAAAACAGCATCCTTCCTCGACCTTACCACAGTGCCGACGCCATTGAAAGATGATCTTATGACAAAGACATTAGTGGGGTGATTTTCCCTGTTGAATCAGATAGCAACAGCTATCACTCAGACCACTTGTGTCCAGCGTAAGAAAAAAAACGCGGTATGTAAATTTAAGTTTAAACTCTGATATAAATATTCGTGATATTCTTAAACTACACTGAGACAACGCTGAGTTGCCACGGGTCAGACAACAAAGGAAGTCGTGATGAAAATAGTTTTGAAGACCGACAAGTTGAAGAATGAGAGACTTGTGCAGCATTTTGTAATCTTTATTGAGGAAACGTTTCGCCAGCCAGTGACTTCTTCAGTCCAATACAGTGAATAACAGGAAGATGAGGAGTTTGAGGTAACCAGTTCCTCAGCCTGGAATCCATCACTCTTGGAAAATGTACAGCATATGCTGTACATTTTTCAAAGGAAGTCTTGGTAGAACGACGGCATTCACACAGATGTGGATAAGATCCCTCTCATTATCAGTGTACACCACTGGTTAATCACTTATTCTGGGAAATTACATTTGGGAAAGTGATATATGAAATATCAAGAGAGTACAAATCTTTATTACTCTAACAATGAAAGTATCTGGGATTATACCATAACAATATAAGTATTCATTGAGACACTGAAGGGGCTACTAGGAGACAGAATAATATAATACTAATGGGATTAGGAGCAGTGATCAGTAACCAACTGAGAAAGGGACACTGAGGTCCGGGGGTCGAGCCTCCGGTACGGCTGGAAAACATTAGGACGTGTTTCCATAAGACACCTGCTGTCCATGTTCACCCTTCAGTAAAATGGGTACCTGGGTGTTAGTCGACAGATGTGGGTCGCAGCCTGGGACAAAATTGATCTAATTTGCCCGAAATGCTCTGCATAACAAGGGGCTTTCTATATAGTAGTATGTCATTGATGTCAGCTAGGACTGTATACCTTGTACATGTACTTGTATAAATATATTATAGTGTAAGGTACACTTACAATAAAGAATCTACTGTGGTTCACTTTTCTCCACCAAGTCCTTCAGCAGTCTGGCTTCACTCTGAATTAGGTCTCGCAAGACCAGTTACCTCAATCTCACATCACCACTCGAGATCCCTAGAGTGGCGATGCCACTCACCACCTCTGGTTGTAGCCAACTGCAGTCCGTCCATAATGAAGGAACAAAGACTCCTTGTATAACACTTCATTCCCTTCCTTCAAGTGGGCGAGCGGGTAAGATTCGTGAATCATAACATCACAAGACGTCAGACAACGTGGAAAGTCTTACATTAAGGCTTGTCGCTTAATTCGGAGTTCGTAACGTGTGTTCATAAACGAATTACAGAGTGTTAGAGAAACGACGTCGTCACTATGTTCGATGAATATATCGTGTGGTTGGGCGGTGGGTCCGCGGCTTGTGTAGTGGCTTCTGGATCCCGGTGTTAGGTGGGTGGCGGCGTGCAAAGTGAGGAGGTGGGAGTGGTGGGTGGTAAGGTGGGCGGTGGGCTTCATTGGTAGGGGGGGAGGGGGTCACAGAGAGACATTAGACGGACGTAACACGGGCGTGAGTGGCCCCCCAACGAGCCTCTCACGAATGCGGTAAATATTTGATGTCTCCACTCGTCCATTAGTCGATGTCTTCCTTGACCCAAGTCTCCAACCAATCCCCCCACCTCCTCAACCAACCCTCACTAACACGTGCATGCACGCACAAGGGATCACTAAAACAGGAAAACACATAAGCACGCACACCTCCAGTGGGAATAAGTCACTTTGTCCGACTTTTCTGGGTTATCCTACGACAAGGTAATTTACACATGTTACTTTGTATGATAATTTGTGTAACTGTATTTGTGTACCTGTACCTAAATAAACTTAAACACACACACACCTGGCGGGGCCAGGAGCGGAGTCTCGACCCCTGCAACCACAATTAGGTGAGTACACACACACACACACACACACACACACACACACACACACACACACACACACACACACACACACACACACACACACACACACACACACAGGGCGCCTGTGACGAGCGGGGTCCCACAGGGGTCAGTTCTAGGACCAGTGCTATTTCTGACATATGCGAACGACATGATGGAAGGAATAGACTCTGAAGTGTCCCTATTCGCAGATGATGTGAAGCTGATGAGAAGAATTAAATCGGATGAGGATGAGGCAGGACTGCAAAGAGACCTGGACATGTGGTCCAGAAACTGGCTTCTCGAATTCAATCCTGCCAAATGCAAAGTCAGGAAGATTGGGGAGGGGCAAA